TAAAAGTTATTAACCTCTTGAGAGATTAGATAATTTCGACTTTTATTTTACTTGACAAACGCGAGAAATCATCCACGCTAAGTAAATATATTTGATAAGTTAGTCGTGAATTTTGAATAATGCATAAGTCGTGATGTTTCCATCACTTTTCGAGTAAATTTTTACTTGTTTTGAGGGAAATTTTGCTCTGAGAAATTTTCAGAATATTCTATAAATTTCTTGGAGTAAAATTCCACTCGGAAAGTAGAGAACAATTTCTTTTGCTGATGTAGTAGAGCGAATTCTTCTACATTGTATCATCGAATATACATTTTCACTTGACACTGAAGAGTGGATTTGATTAGTCCCAACATGTTACTGAAACAATTTCACTCTAATTAACAGAAATTCACTCGTATGGATTAAGAATCCGTTCCGAATTTGAGTTGAGCGTTCTGTGATTCTGAGTGACTATATGTTTGGTATTTTTCGAGTATGAGATTTTCAGAAATTTAGAAAGGAATTTAAAAAGCGCTTTCTAAATTCCTTGGAATGAAATTTATTTGTGAAATAGAGCGACAAGCGGATGACTTTCCACTTCTATAGAGTGAATTCTCCTAGTTTAAATGGTCGAGCGAATATCTTCACTCGAAATTGAAGAGTAAGTCTGATGTGTGCTTCACTATCCATGAACGAATTCACTCCAATCGACTGAAACAATCGTTCCTGCGAGTGGCGATACTTTCGCCATCGCCTCGAGTGAATTCTCCCTCCTCTTAAATGGCAGATCTTACTCCAAGAACTTTAGAGAGCAGGAATCGCATTCTCGTGCTTGAAACGGAGCTCGCAGATTAGCGGCTCGCGGCCTCGCGCTCTCGGATAATCGGCCAATTAACGAAAATTCGCTGTTTGCTCGACCCGGCCGTCGTCCGAAACGGCCAAGTTTGCGCGGCCCATACGTTCCCGACTCGTTTGTCGCCAAAGGAGCGCGCAGATTGGAATCGTACGACGACATATTTAGCCAGCTCGTTAACCGCCGCCTGCGATTACCGTAACCGTTACCATCTACCATCCGCTCGGAATGCATAGCACGAGGAAGCTCCTCAGCGAGAGGACCGCGCGCGCTGCTGAACCGCGGCGCGGGAACGTGGCAGGAGGTGGATGGACTTACCTAATCCTAAGCAAACACGGCCTACGCTTGGTAGCTACCTGTCTGATCAAACATTTGTCTTTACTACTCGGTTGATTAAACGCCTGCCAAGTTTGTACTGCTTCTGCGGGTGGGGGCTAAGGGAAACTGGTGGTAACGCTAGGGTGATTGTAGGATGAGAGAGAGAGAGAGAGAGAGAGAGAGAGAGAGAGAGAGAGAGAGAGAGAGA